GCATCGTTATTTTATATGTATCTTTCATAAAGAAAGCAATAAGACCGTAACAAAAACTTTCTGAGTCAAAACAACTAATCGTTTATCCAGTGTAACAGTTTTACATTTTCTCTGATAACATTAATTAATAAACACTGTTTCATCTTTCCGCTTTTTAAAAACAGCCACACCTGGTTTATTCTGAGCGTCTGGGTGATTTGCAAGTTCCGGTGGGCATGAGGATACTGGACTTGCCATTATCACTTGTTTTAGGTCATAGAACACCAAATTGTCCTCTTTAGTAAGAAAAGTAATAGCTACACCAGATTTTCCAGCACGTCCTGTACGACCAATACGATGTGTGTAATCTGAAGTATAAAACAACATACGTATATTTCCTATGTCAGTCAAAAAAACAACAAGAACTGTCGGAGGACAGTAACGCTCGACTATTCGAAAATTTGTCACAAGGGTGTTTCATTGAGTATAATAATGCTTACCTATATGAATACATAAAATTGTCCGAAAAGGTACAAACTCTTCAAGTTTCAATACATTCCCTTCAGTAGTTATGGAGATATAAGCTTACATGCAAAAACTTAACCAAGAATTCATGAGTCGAAAAAGGGGCATAATTATGCAAAAAGCAAATCAGAGTAATGGGACTTGTACCAATCATCTTAGATAATCACAGAGACCAAGTGTGTGAAGTTTCAATCCATTCCCTCTAGTAGTAATGGAGATACCAGCTTACACGCAAAAACTTAACCAAGAATTTCTAAGTCGAAAAAAAGGGGCATAATTATGTTAAAAAGCAAATTAAAGTTATGGGACTTGTGCCAATCATCTTAGATAATCACAGAGAACAAGTGTGTGAAGTTTCATTCAATTCCCTTCAGTAGTTATGGAGATACCAGCTTACACGCAAAAACTTAACCAAGAATTTCTAAGTCGAAAAAGGGGCATAATTATGTAAAAAAGCAAATCAGAGTTATGGGACTTGTGCCAATTATCTTAGATAATCACAGAGAACAAGTGTGTGAAGTTTCAATCCATTCCCTTCAGTAGTTATGGAGATACCAGCTTACACGCAAAAACTTAACCAAGAATTTCTAAGTCGAAAAAAGGGGCACAATTATGTAAAAAAGCAAATCAGAGTTATGGGACTTGTGCTAATCATCTTAGATAATCACAGAGAACAAGTGTGTGAAGTTTCAATCCATTCCCTTCAGTAGTTAAGGAGATACCAGCTTACATACAAAAACTTAACCAAGAATTTCTAAGTTGAAAAAGGGGCATAATTATGAAAAAAAGCAAATCAGAGTTATGGGACTTGTGCCAATCATCTTAGATAATCACAGAGAACAAGTGTGTGAAGTTTCAATCCATTCCCTTCAGTAGTTAAGGAGATACCAGCTTACATACAAAAACTTAACCAAGAATTTCTAAGTCGAAAAAGGGGCATAATTATGAAAAAAAGCAAATCAGAGTTATGGGACTTGTGCCAATCATCTTAGATAATCACAGAGAACAAGTGTGTGAAGTTTCAATCCATTCCCTTCAGTAGTTAAGGAGATACCAGCTTACATACAAAAACTTAACCAAGAATTTCTAAGTCGAAAAAGGGGCATAATTATGAAAAAAAGCAAATCAGAGTTATGGGACTTGTGCCAATCATCTTAGATAATCACAGAGAACAAGTGTGTGAAGTTTCAATCCATTCCCTTCAGTAGTTATGGAGATACCAGCTTACATACAAAAACTTAACCACAGGGACGCCGACGCCGACAAATGGGTGACTGCATTAGCTCGATTATTCTGCGAATAAGGAGATACCAGCTTACATACAAAAACTTAACCAAGAATTTCTAAGTCGAAAAAGGGGCATAATTATGAAAAAAAGCAAATCAGAGTTATGGGACTTGTGCCAATCATCTTAGATAATCACAGAGAACAAGTGTGTGAAGTTTCAATCCATTCCCTTCAGTAGTTAAGGAGATACCAGCTTACATACAAAAACTTAACCAAGAATTTCTAAGTCGAAAAAGGGGCATAATTATGAAAAAAAGCAAATCAGAGTTATGGGACTTGTGCCAATCATCTTAGATAATCACAGAGAACAAGTGTGTGAAGTTTCAATCCATTCCCTTCAGTAGTTATGGAGATACCAGCTTACATACAAAAACTTAACCACAGGGACGCCGACGCCGACGCCGACAAATGGGTGACTGCATTAGCTCGATTATTCTGCGAATAGTCGAGCTAAAAACACATTTTTACTATAATACTGGTAAGATATTATTTTATATCCTTTATTTACGTTTAACTGTGCATAAAACACAGAGACTTATAATACAAATAATAATTAATTTAGATGCGCACTCATACAAACTGAATATGTAATCAAAGTGGCAAAAGGCCTAGTTGTTTATTATAAACAAGAGGGCCATGATGGCCCTGAGGTCGCTCACCTGTATATAGGCCCCCGAAGCGGGGCCAGTTTAAACCCCTGGGGGCTTTTATTTGAACAAACTTGGAATTAAGACACCCATTAGAAGATGTTTCATGATGTTAAGTTTTTGCTATACACATATAAGAAAAACAATGACCTTCTCCCCCACCCCCAGGCAGAGTTAATTTTAACCCAAGGGCTTTTATTTGAACAAACTTGGTAGACACCCATAAGAAGATGTTTCATGCTAAAATTCTAAGCTCTAGCTCATTGGGTTTTTTAAAAGAAGATTTTTTAAGTTTTTACTATACACATATAGTTAAAAACAATGACACCCCTGGGGCGGGGCCAGTTTTGGGCGGGGCCAGTTTTGACCCAAGGGCTTTTATTTGAACAAACTTTGTAGACACTTATTAGAAGATGTTTCATGCTTAATATCTAACTCTAGCTATTTAGGTTTTTTCAAAAAAGATTTTTTAAGTTTTTGCTATACACATATAAGGAAATCAATGACCCCCGGGACGGGGCCAATTTTTTGACCCCCAGGGCTTTTATTTGAACAAACTTTGTAGACACTCACTAGAAGATGTTTCATGCTTAATATCTAAACTCTAGCTATTTGGGATTTTTTCAAAGAGGTTTTTTAAGTTTTTGCTATACACATATAAGGAAAATCAATGACCCCCAGGGCAGGGCTAATTTTGACCCCAGGGCTTTTATTTGAACAAACTTAGTAGACACCCATTAGAACATGTTTCATGCTAAATATCTTAGCTCGAGCTCTTTGAGTTCCTTGAAAGAAGATTTTTTAAGTTTTAACTATATGCATATAGGGAAAATCAATGACCCCCCGGTGCGGGGCCAATTTTGACCCCAGGGCTTTTATTTGAACAAACTTGGTAGACACTCACTAAAAGATGTTTTATGCTAAATATTTTAGCTCTAGCTCTTTGGGTTCTTTAAAAGAAGATTTTTAAACTTTTTACTATATGCATATAGGGAAAATCAATGACCCCCTGGGGCGGGGCCAATTTTGACCCCAGGGCTTTAATTTGAACAAACTTTGTAGACACTCACTAGAAGATGTTTCATGCTTAATATCTAAACTCTAGCTATTTGGGATATTTTCAAAGAGGTTTTTTAAGTTTTTGCTATACACATATAAGGAAAATCAATGACCCCCGGGGCAGGGCCAATTTTGACCCCAGGGCTTTTATTTGAACAAACTTAGTAGACACCCATTAGAACATGTTTCATGCTAAATATTTTAGCTCTAGCTCTTTGAGTTCTTTAAAAGAAGATTTTTTTAAGTTTTTACTATATGCATATAGGGAAAATCAATGACCCCCCCTGGTGCGGGGCCAATTTTGACCACAGGGCTTTTATTTGAACAAACTTGGTAGACACTCACTAGAAGATGTTTCATGCCAAATATCTAAGCTCTAGCTCTTTGGGTTCTTTAAAAGAAGATATTTGAATTTTTTTTCTTTCGGTTGCCATGGCAACCAGAGTTCTGCATTGAATTAAATTCTTTGAACAATTTTTAAAGGTGACCACCAAAGGAACATTCCTTTGAAGTTTGGATGAAATTGGCTTAGTGGTTTATGAGGAGATGTCATTTGAAGCAAAAGTTTACGGACGGACGGACGGACACCGGACGAAAAGCGATCACAAAAGTTCACCCTGTCACTTTGTGACAGGTGAGCTAAAAAGTGGATGGAAATTTCACTAAGCTATAGTCTTGATAAAGTGCATTTCTGATAAATTTAGTTCTATCAGTCACCCTCAGCTTTATCTGACACCCCACCAATACATATCAAAATAAAACTAAGAGAATGGATTATTTCCCTCAAATATTTTTAAAAATACTAAAGTTAAACTAAAAAAATTTTTGAATCAATAGTTTTTTGAATATTAAGTCTCCTTTTTAAATTTTGACTAAAAATTTTGGGGACTTTTTCTTATAAATAAAACCCTTGGCATATACTCCCAACGGATATTTCTTGACAGGTTTTTGATTAATTTGACATTTGAAGAAACAAACGCATACTAAAATTGAAATCATGATAAATAGATTACCAAACAACTGTTTGATATAAAAAATTTCAGGCTCCGCAGTAAAAAAATGAAGGTCTCAAAAGAGCCTCGCCTTTTTCATTTTTCTTAGCCTTGCCTGATAAATTTTGTAATACCAGACACTAGTATGGTATTATGTACTTCTCTCCAAATAGTTTCTTACATATAGTATATAACACTAACTAGTAATTAAACCATGAAAATGGGCCTCAAATTTGCTTTTGGAACTTTAACACCATTTCATATCAAAAATGTTCTCAGCAAAATGAACTAGCTTCATTAAAGACCCATTATGCCTCAGAAATGCTAACATTTTTATTTCTCAATTTTTATCTTATTTTTGGAATCTTGTTACAGTTTCAAAAAAAAAATTAATTGTTTGCCATTTAGATGACGTACTTTTGCTTCTGTTGCTTTGTTGGCAATTGGTATTAGTATTTTATATGGAATTCGAAATACTTCTTTGTTTACATTTTGCTACCTTTACAATGCATAACTGCATGATAAGCGCTATTTTCTTCAGATGTAACACATCTTACATCATGCTCTAAATCCATTATCAAAACATCATTTAACACATGTTTGACATTTCTAAAGAATTTCGAAAAAAATACGGATTTCTGAGGCATAATGTGCCTTTTAGTTAAACCATCATATTTTTTTCCTTTCTTACTTAAATTAATCAAATTTGCTGATTTAAGTGTTGGTATAGCGGAGAGTAACAGGAAAAAAAACTCACATTTGCAACATATGATCTTGCTTAGGCCAATGTAAAAACAAGAGGGCCATGATGGCCCTGAGGTCGCTCACCTGTATATAGCCCCCCCCCCCCCCCCAGGGCCAATTTTTACCCAAGGGCTTTTATTTGAACAGACTTGGTAGACACCCATAAGAAGATGTTTCATGCTGAACATCTAAGTTCTAGCTCATTGGGTTTCTTAAAAGAAGATTTTTTAAGTTTTTACTAGTGATGTTCCGATTGTCGCCAGTCGCCGAAAATCACTTACTGTTATGTAAAGCGACAATAATCGATTCATAAAAATTTGTTCCGCGACGTCGTCGAAAATGTTTAAAGTGTCAAAGGAAATTATTCTGACGGTAATTTTCACCTCGCCGATCTCAAAAAATAATGTCAGAGACAATTTGGAGTTAAACAGAATCAATAAGTAATGTAAACAATAGTAATGTAATGTGATTTGAATGTAATTATTTGACATACATTGAAAAATAAAAGCTATTTCGTAAAATTATGACTATACAAGGTTAAAACTGTGTTGAAAAGTGTTAAATGAAGTTCATGTTACTGAATATAATCAAGTGCCTTGGGAAGAAATGTTACTTCCCTATTTCTTTTTAAACGCGACTTTATTCGAAAAGTTATCGATTATGTCCCATCCGACTGAAACCGATGATCGATTGGGACAAATTTCATCCGATTTCCATCACTAGTTTTTACTATACACATATAGTTAAAAACAATGACACCCCTGGGGCAGGGCCAGTTTTGACCCCCGGGCTTTTATTTGAACAAACTTTGTAGATATTTACTTAAAGATGTTTCATGTATAATATCTAAACTCAAGCTATTTGGGTTTTTTCAAAGAAGATTTTTAAGTTTTTGCTATACACATATAAGGAAAATCAATGACCCCCGGGGCGGGGCCAGTTTTGACCCCAGGGCTTTTATTTGAACATACTTGGTAGACACCCATTAGAACATGTTTCATGCTAAATATCTTAGCTCTAGCTCTTTGAGTTCTTTAAAAGAAGATTTTTTAAGTTTTTACTATATGCATATAGGGAAAATCAATGACCCCCTGGGGCGGGGCCAATTTTGACCCCAGGGCTTTTATTTGAACAAACTTGGTAGACACTCATTAGAAGATGTGTCATGCTAAATATCTTAGCTCTAGCTCTTTGGGTTCTTTAAAAGAAGATTTTTTAAGTTTTTACTATATGCATTTTGGGAAAATCTATGACCCCCTGGGACGGGGCCAATTTTGACCCCAGGGCTTTTATTTGAACAAACTTGGTAGACAATCACTAGAAGATGTTTCATGCCAAATATCTAAGCTCTAGCTCTTACGGTTCTTTAAAAGAAGATTTTTTAAGTTTTTACTATATGCATATAGGGAAAATCAATGACCCCCTGGGGCGGGGCCAATTTTGACCCCAGGGCTTTTATTTGAACAAACTTGGTAGACACTCATTAGAAGATGTTTCATGCTAAATATCTTAGCTCTAGCTCTTTGGGTTCTTTAAAAGAAGATTTTTTAAGTTTTTACTATATGCATTTTGGGAAAATCTATGACCCCCTGGGACAGGGCCAATTTTGACCCCAGGGCTTTTATTTGAACAAACTTGGTAGACATTCACTAGAAGATGTTTCATGCCAAATATCTAAGCTCTAGCTCTTACGGTTCTTTAAAAGAAGATTTTTTAAGTTTTTACTATATGCAAATAGGGAAAATCAATGACCCCCCGGGGCGGGGCCAATTTTGACCCTAGGGCTTTTATTTGAACAAACTTGGTTAGACACTCACTAGAAGATATTTCATGTCAAATATCTTAGCTCTAGCTCTTTGGGTTCTTTAAAAGAAGATTTTTTAAGTTTTACTATATGCATATAGGGAAAATCTATGACCCCCCTGGGGCAGGGCCAATTTTGACCTCAGGGCTTTTTATTTGAACAAACTTGGTAGACACTCATTAGAAGATGTTTCATGCTAAATATCTTAGCTCTAGCTCTTTGGGTTCTTTAAAAGAAGATTTTTTAAGTTTTTACTATATGCATATAGGGAAAATCAATGACCCCTGGGCGGGGCCAATTTTGACCCCAGGGCTTTTATTTGAACAAACTTGGTAGACATTCACTAGAAGATGTTTTCATGCCAAATATCTTAGCTCTAGCTTTTACAGTTCTTTAAAAGAAGATTTTTTAAGTTTTTACTATATGCATATAGGGAAAATCAATGACCCCCCGGGCCGGGGCCAATTTTGACCCCAGGGCTTTTATTTGAACAAACTTGGTAGACACTCACTAGAAAATGTTTCATGCCAAATATCTTAGCTCTAGCTCTTTGGGTTCTTTAAAAGAAGATTTTTTAAGTTTTTACTATATGCATATAGGGAAAATCAATGACCCCCTGGGGCGGGGCCAATTTTGACCCTAGGGCTTTTATTTGAACAAACTTGGTAGACACTCATTAGAAGATGTTTCATGCCAAATATCTAAGCTCTAGCTCTTACGGTTCTTTAAAAGAAGATATTTAAAGATTTTTCTTTCGGTTGCCATGGCAACCAGTTCTGCATGAAATGGAATTCTTTGAACAATCTTGATAGAGCTTCATACAAAGAGTATTCCTGCCAAGTTTCATTAACATTGGCCTTGCGGTATCATAGAAGATGTCCTTAGAATATTTAAAATGTGGACGGACGACGGACGCCATTTGGTTGGCCATCCTAAAAGCTCACCTGCACTTTGTGCAAGGTGAGCTAAAAAAGAGTATCAATAACCAAGCATGTGACCTAACATACCTTCAATATTCTTCGCCATATCATAATTGATGACCAGAGAGACATCTTTTATGTCTATACCACGACCAGCGACATCTGTAGCTACCAGGATATCTTTTGTTCCTCCCTTTAAACTAGCCAAAGCAAACTCTCTCTGTTCCTGACCTTTACCACCATGAAGTGTTGTTGCGTTGAACTGAAATGAAAGTAAAAAGACACACCTATGAAACATATATTTCTATTCTTGGATATCAGACTGGCATATCTGTAAGATTTACCAGAAATTTCATCTTCATATTATTTAAATGTGTTTTGCATGTCACAGCTGATAAATTTACAGTCCTGGGTACCGTTTCACTAACATACTTACGCAAATTCTTGACTTACGCAAAATTTTTTCAATGTGCTAGAAAATAAATTCAAACATACTCGCATGTTTTTAAATCTTATATATTCAATCTTTTATTTGCTCAAAACTTAATTAACATAAAATATAAAAACAAATACTTGCTATGGACATAAAAAGATCAATGGAAATTTTTGCGTTAAGTTTAAGAATTTGCGTAAGTATGTTAGTGAAACCGTACCCAGCTGTACTTTCAAGCTCTACTGACAGAAGAACACCTTCAGGGCTTTTTTTCTTTTTACTTCTATAGCAGGGGCCTTTTTACAGACATCTTATCCAGTCTATCCAGTGTACAGGAAAATTCTTTGAAATCATAAAAGTTCTCCTCTAAACTTCAATTCTTACATAAAAAAAGTTTTTTTCCCTTTTTTTTGAAAAAAAAACAAAAAAACCTCAAAATTATAGGGAAAGATTGTCTACCAATGAAAAAAAGCTTTTACCTTTGACAATCTTTTATACAAAAAAGTTCATCAATTTATACCTGTTTATACCACAAATATTACCTGTGCTAACTGTAGCCTAAGACCCAAAACTGTCAGCAGTATAGCACCAGGCCAGTCTGCACTAGACCTGTGCAGTCTGACCGGGCCCTACACTGTCGGTAACTAATATTTTTTATATTGATATTGAAAATCCCTTAAAAGGACTCTACTGAGGTTTTTAGAAAAACATCTTTCTGAGATTTGTCTATCGATTGATTTAGGTCTGATCCAATAGCCTGTAAGCAAATATTTAGCTCATACCCTAATCCTTTTTTCCAAGAATAATCATTTTTTATTGTGAAAAATAGCCCAAAAATGAAAAGCGTTGCAATGCTTTTCTCTGAAATTCGGCTTTCAGTGGCATATATAATTGATTTTCAATTTAATTCTTAGTATATTTCTTTGTTACCTTTTGCAATATTTCCAATTTTAAGTGCTTCACTTGACATTTGTAAGGTTTTCATATTGTATGTTTTATGCCTTTAGACCTCAGTGGAGTTCCTTTAAACTTTGAATGGACTGTTCCAAATTCAAAATAGAGCAATTCCATTACACAAAATCAGCAAAAAAAGGTTAAATATAAGTTTATTTAAGTAAGATTTATTTAAGTAAGATTATGAAGTTTATTTAAGTAAGATTATGAAACAAGTCCATGCATCTTAATATGTTCATCAATTTCAGGCCTGCACCCTGGATCAAACAATCATTGGTATCTTATGTGGAAACATGGTCAAGACCAATGATTTAGACAGGACTCAATCCCATGATCCCTGGATTGACAGTCTAAACCCTAACCACAAGTGCATCAATCCCCAGCCAGATACATTCTTTTCTTTAATTGGTATCAATCTATTTTAAGTCACATCTAACTCATTATTAACTGCATTTCAACTTCCCAGCTTAAATGGAGGCAGAAGACTAAGCTAACAACTACCGACCTTCCAAGAGACTGCTGAACACTTTCCAGATTGAAAGATAACTTCTCGCCAAATTCAAACCAACAGAGCTGTTGGGCAACAGATTCATATTCTACAATAAAACCACTTGCAGGCCAACTTTTTCTATTAATTGCACTTACTCCCATAAGCTACCTGGATAGCTTTCTCAAATGTAACAAGAGCTATCGGTAGGACAGCAACGCTCGACTATTCTTAGTGCTTGATTGTAAAAAAAAATGCTTGATAGAGTTACCTCCTCCTGTTTACAGGTTGGGGTAATGATGGTGAATAAGTGTGCAAAGTTTCAAAGCCATATGTCAATGGACTTTGAAAATATTTGAGGTATTACAAAAACTTTAACGTAAATTCTAAGTCCAACAAGAGCTGTCGGTAGGACAGCAACGCTCGACTATTCTTAGTGCTTGATAGTAAAAAAAATGCTTGATATAGTTACCTCCTCCTCTTTACAGGTTGGGGTCATGATGGTGAACAAGTGTGCAAAGTTTCAAAGCCATATGTCAATGGACTTTGAAAATATTTGAACTATTACAAAAACTTTAACATAAATTCTAAGTCGAAAAAGGGGCATAATTCTGTCAAAATGCTTGATAGAGTTACCTCCTCCTGTTTACAGGTTGGGGTCATGATGTTGAACAAGTGTGCAAAGTTTCAAAGCCATATGTCAATGGACTTTGAAAATATTTGAACTATTACAAAAACTTTAACGTAAATTCTAAGTCGAAAAAAGGGCCTAATTCTGTCAAAATGCTTGATAGAGTTACCTCCTCCTGTTTACAGGTTGGGGTAATGATGGTGAACAAGTGTGCAAAGTTTCAAAGCCATATGTCAATGGACTTTGAAAATATTTGAACTATTACAAAAACTTTAACGTAAATTCTAAGTCGAAAAAGGGGCATAATTCTGTCAAAATGCTTGATAGAGTTACCTCCTCCTGTTTACAGGTTGGGGTCATGATGTTGAACAAGTGTGCAAAGTTTCAAAGCCATATGTCAATGGACTTTGAAAATATTTGAACTATTACAAAAACTTTAACATAAGTGGTTACGCCGACGCCGACGCTCGAGTGACTGCAATAGCTCTACTTATTCTTATCGAATAGTCGAGCTAAAAATAACATTACACCTCTATTGGATTCAGACTCAAAGCTTTGCGGGGCAAAACATTCAAAGTTAATCATATAACAAATAGGTCATGTAGGCGCAGTTTCTATAGTAAAACAGACTTACTCCCATCTTCTCCAAGGATTTAGCAAGAACGTCAACACCTTTCTTCTGGTTAACAAAGATGAGGATTGGAGGATCTATTCCTGCCTGTAGAATCTCCAGTAACTTCTTCCTGCAAAACAACAACAACAACAATTTATGTTAAAAAAATATTACAAAAACTCATGCTAATAAAGTGTGGTTTTTCAGACTGAGTTCAATATTCATCAAGATTTCACTCCAAATCAATCCAATATCTTATTTCTGTTAACTACAAATCAATCAAATATCATATTTATCTTAACTCCCAACTCCTTGAGCAAGAAACTTTACACTAATTGCTTAGTACTGCTTGGTTCCAGGAACAGATTCAAAAGTGTTTCAATAAGATTTTAGCTTCAAACACAATCGAACTAAAATAAATTTGTATAAACTGATCAACCAAAAATCGTATTTCATTAACTTCCCACTCAATCCAATATCACATCTATCAGTAAACCTTTCTTTCAATCCATTAATATAAACTTTTATGACTTTCAATTCAGTGTTGCATCTAAAATTTCAAAATTATGGGGGATTGTCCCCCACTCAACTGAAGAATGTGATGGATTTGAAAAAAAAATGTGGGGGACAATAAAATATACATTTACCTAACAATATGACATACTGAATTTTATGATCAAACCGTCAATACACACGCGAGATGACCAGGTTGGGGGCAGCTACACATGATTTAATATGTATTTTTAGTCATTACCGCGAGTGAAAACAAACATGGCAGAAGCGTTCTAGATATGAAATGAAGATTAACTCAATAAAGTTTAAAAGATCATCAGATGCGAGACTAAGGGCACACTGATTTCCTTAAAATGCGCAATCTGCAGAAAAATGTGCGCAAATTGCGCAATCTGTGGCTTGGATGCAACACTGCTTCAATTTCAATAAATCCAATATCTATCTTACCTTTTCTCTTGTTGATTCATCATGTATACAATCTGTTCACAACGTTCTGTTGGTTTACCGGCTGAGCCTATGTAAACAACAGCCGGTCGTCGCAAATATTTCCTGGCCAGTTTCTCTACCGTCGGTGGCATAGTGGCTGTGAACATCACCGTCTGAAAAAGACAATTTAAAATTAGAAATGTATTTGTCTATTTTGAAGGTATTTAAACTTTATATTAAGCCAAAAGAAGACAATGTTTAAGAATTTTATTATTTACTACCCTTTTTGTGCCTTTTCCTATTTCAGACATACCTCTTTTATTCTTTTCCTACTTCAGACATTCACTTTTATTTGCCCTTCTCTGTTTCAGATATACAATTTTTCAGTTTTAATTTCAGACACACCCATTTCAGTCAGTTATCTATTTCAGACATACCTTTTACTCCTTCATCTATTTAAGAACTACATCTTTTGTCTCTATTTCAGACATCTTTTAAGTATTTTATACATCTCTTTGTCTTTATTTCAGACACCGGAATCGCAATTTAAACGTCTTTTTATCTTTCTCTATTTCAGACATCCTTTTAGTATTGATCAGTATTTACCTTTTTCAGACAAAACTATTTCAGTACAAATTAAAACCGTAACTACATTGTAGATGTAAAGTAATATCTAACCTGTCTATATTTCTGTGTTGTGTTGAAGTTGGCCAGCATCTTTTCATTATCTTCTGCATCATCATTGTCCGGTTTCATGTTGGTGACCGGAAGATATTCCAGTATTTGTTGCACGTCCGGCTCGAAACCCATGTCTATCATACGATCAGCCTCGTCCAATACCACATATGTGCATTGGGCTAAAACTAGGTACCTATTTTCTAAAACATCAATAAGACGTCCTGGCGTAGCTATTACAATCTGAAAAAAGTTACATCACATTTTATTATAGAAGAACAGAAGTACTGAAACAACAACAATCAAACGTGTGTATATAAATGACAAATGTAAAAATCCTAAAGTTGTCATTCCAAGAAGAGCTCTAAGGACAGAGTCAGAGTCCTTCACTAAGAGTTTTGATAAAATCGCAAGAATCTGGGCAATGTTAAAAGGAAATTCTATTTGCTAGAGGTGCTACATTTATCCGTTTAAAAGGGTACGGTCAGTTTTTAGCTAAAAACCGGTTAGAAAATTCTATAACTGGTAACCAAGGTTAGTATAAGACATAAGCAAAAAAGTGTTAAATTGATTCTAAATATTACATTAAGTTATTATAACAAGATATGACAATTTGTTTGTATATTGTATTTAGTTGTACTGAACAATTCATTTTTTCCTGATCTTGAGTACAGTATGTCTCAAAGGAAAATAGTAAATGTATTGTATTTATTTTCAGTGCAACAAAAAAACAAACAAAATGACATATCTTGTCATAAAGATACAAGGTTAATGTTGAATAGGTTAGCTTTTTTTCTAACCCTGACACCCCTATTATGACAAATTTGAATTAATTGGTTTTCAGTGTAAAAGTTATATGGCCACTTCCCAGGTTTACTGGTGGAAGAAAAGCTCAGGAGCCCCTCTTGCATTATTTCAGGCATCTGAGTAAAAACATCAACTTTTGAAATTTCACGAGCTACCTGGGTGACTTCTTCACATGAAAAGAGCCAAAGTCCCTGAGAAGATTTAAACCCACAGAGGTGAGAGTCAGTGACCAGAACCACTCATAATATTGCTTTAAATTTTTGTCCATTTCAAGTAACTGCAATGTTATGGTCCCCAAATACTTGTTATAAAATCACTAAAACCAAACTAATCAAAATGTATACCTCGCATCCCTGGCGGAGTTTGAACCCTTGCTCCTCTCTCGAAATACCACCAATAACTGCTACAGTTCGGATACCAATTGACTTTCCAAATTTGATCGTTTCCTCTTCTATTTGCTGGGCTAATTCACGAGTCGGTGCCAGAATTATGGCATATGGTCCCTTATCAATTATGTCTATTTTCCTGTAAACATAGTGAAAAGTAATCAAAATAAGACACACTTGACTAATGAAGCTAATATATGAATAAGTTAATCTATTGATAATGTCAATTTTCATATACGAATATCAAACAAAATCCTATTTCCCACACATTTCTGTTTTTTTGGGGTTTTTTTCTTTTTAAATGAAAAAAGGCAATATTCAGAAGGCAATACATATCATTTACATATATTTATTAAAGTGTATAAAGCTATATTCAAATCTGGAGCCTTGAAAAAAAATCAAGAACTGTAGGGAAAAAAAAGCTTTCTTCATGATTAAGTGCATGAAATATTACCTTCTGTCCAGCAATTTCATTGGCTGAAAGAAACTTACTGAATTATTCATTCAACTATTTCAAATACTTCATGTATTTACCTTTCTATTTTTGGTAGCGATGTAATCCATTGAAGAAGAGGGATAAGGAAGGCGGCAGTTTTACCGCTGCCAGTTTCCGCAATACCGATGACATCACGGTTCTGTAAGCCAATGGGAATTGCCTGTCTCTGAATAGGTGATGGCTCCTGAAATTTTAATATAAAATATAATATTAGGCTATCAATGAATATTTGCTATACATAGGTCTCTTAAATTTTAAGTTTACTAAAAAATTTTAAGTTAAACAAAATTCTTACATGCATCTGTAGATCAAATGAAGTACTTAAAATGTAAAGGATAATTAAGAATTTGAATATCTATTTTATTTGTACAATTCTTAGCCCAATTTGAGTGAAAAGCATAGCATTGACTATTAATTTTGTGTCATTTTGCACAATAAAAAAATTTGATTCTGGAAACACAGGCTGAGTGAATGATCTGAAAATGTACAAGCAAGTTGTTGGGTCCAACAAACTCGAAAGGTACACAAATCTCTGAAAAATATTTCCAGTCCTGTCCTGTCCAAAAAAAACCCAAAAAAACATAGAGTAGTCCCTTTAAATTTCAGCAATAAAGCATGAGAGGGAAAAATTTACCTTGTAACCAATAGAGTCTATAATGTCAAGCAGATCTTTAGGCAAGCTCGCTTCTTTCCATTTCCTGATAGGGTTTGGTATTCGGCCTCCTTTGCAACTGATATTATAGTCCTCCTTAAAAATACGCCAGTCTCTCTCTGTCATTTCCGGTAAAGTTTTGTCGGTCCAATGTCGATCATCAAACCTTCGTTTATTTTCCTTCGCCTTTACATCTTTTAGTCGTTTCCTATATGGTTTGGAAAAAGTAACTATAAATGTTTTTTTATATTCCATATCTAAATAATGACATTATTTAAATAACACATGGCTGTCTGGGTGATTGAGGATACTGTCAACACAAGAACTGGTATATTACCCCAAAGTGCAGCTGATATTTAATATGCAATATTTTATTATGCCGAAAGACCTACAACTACAATATTCATAAAGTACGCAATCAAGGAAATAAATAGAACAGACATCATCATTTTTATAATTTAATTTTGCTCAAAACAATAAACTTAATAAAAACAGTTCAAGCATGATTTTAAACACTTGCTGAATATGGGAATCAGAACATTAAAGGATATATTGTTGCATAATAAAATTAAATATCATTTTCACATAATAATCAGTACCAATGTTTTATTTCATTTTGAGATTCACATCACAAGCAATACAGTTTACTGTGAATTCACTTAATTTCGTGGACATGAAATTCCGTGGTTTTGTCACAATGAAATTTTTTCTTGAATTCTTAAATTCATGGACTGTTTATTTTTCCAAAAGGTAATGTAAATAATGCAATCTTAAATTCGTGGATTGACCTTTTAATAAAAACCACGAAAAATTAATTCCCCTCAAATAATAAATAAATGATTTTGCATTATTACATGCTTTTCAGCATATCACTGAAATATAACAGTAAATTCAGAGCCTACATTTATTTATCATGAAGAATTCTTTATAAATAAGGTCATCCATAATGCAATATTCCATTATACTACTCGGAAATAAAGTACGAAATGCACATATGTACACGCAGAAAACTAGGCTTGCAAATTTTAGACTGCATGAAGTGTGCAGGCTGGCCTGGCTCTATACTCGTGGCAAAGACAAACCACTTTTAGAGCAAGGAAAGGGATACAAAACGTCACGGCAAAACCAACATCATGGGTTTATGACCAGCATGGATACAGACCAGCCTGTGCATCTGCGCAGAAACTAAAGTTATTGAGCGGAAACCAAAAGTTGACGCCTGCCCGCTGACTTTGGCATTACAATAACCCGGTTTTCGTTGAAAACCTGGTTGATAATGGGTTTACGACCAGCATGGATCCAGACCAGCCTGCGCATCCACGCAGTCTGATCAGGATCCATGCTGTTCGCTATCAGTTTCTCTACTTGTTAAAGGGTTTGTAAGCAGACAGCATGGACCCTGATCAGACTGTGCGGATGTGCAGGCTGGTCTGGATCCATGCTGGTCGCAAATGTATTATGTTGGTTTTGTCATGACACGGCTCATATGATGAAAGGGATATACACAACAGTAACATACTTTTCTTGATTCTTTTCATCATCTGTTCTTCTTTTCTCCAGTAAATCTCCATAAAATTTGGACTGGTCTTTCTTTTGTTGCTGAAATAGAAAATGGATAAACTTAAAAAAGCCCTGCTAGAATTTTCTCAAACCTAACCCCGGGTAAACTTTTGTGATTAGCTTTCGCAATCTGATTAAAATCAGCTCTTAATAACGCTCCGCATTTAGATCTGACCATCAACAAATTGCAAGACTTTTCAAACAGTCAATCATCAGCGAGCTTTCATAATTTTGAAAGCAATTCTGTTTCTATTTTTAAACCCTGGGAAACCAATATCGAGAAGGTAATCATGACGATTTCAAGACATTACGCTGGAACAAACATAGCATGGTCAATGAACCTAATTATCTATTGTTAGTAAGTATGATATGGAACAACTTTTATTTGTTCCCTTATTTGATAAAAGTAAATATAAAGTGACCTAAAAATCACCAATACACCTGTGAAAGTTCATTCAAAGTTTGTGTGCTATGATACTTTTATTATAAGCCTAAAATATCCTCAAGTGGTGGCTAGAAAGACTATTCACTTTTGGTTCCAGCAGAGGTTAAAAAAGTTTTTAGCTAGGTTTCCTTTTTTTTTTCTTTTTCTTTTTTTGGTTTCACCAACACAGTATAGGTGAATGGCAACTTTCCAGCTTTACTGGTGGAAGAAGACTTCATGTGCTCATCCATGTATTATTTCAGGCACGAACAAGCACCTCAGTAGAACCACCAAAGTTTTTTATTTTTCTGGATAGAATCTCAAGTCTATCCATGTATCTCATATTTGCCAATAATTTCCATATATAATTCTTTCATTGTATGTTCTAATTACAATCATTACAAACATAATTATTACAGACTTTCCATTACAGAAGAATGCACTTTAATATCATTTATCACATAAACTGCAGTGAAGGAGTGTAATAACACCTTTTAATAAAACCGATATTACACTAGTGCTAGCGTTACACTATAGGCGTGTCAATGAAAAATGACTCTTTATAACAATTTACAGTTCTTATTCTATATATGTAATAAAAATAATAATATATTCACGTTGATTCAATACTAAATTTATTGAACT